CCCCAAATGGGGTCCAGACCCACAGGTGGAGAACCACTGCCCTTTCTCCGCACCCGTCCGGAGAGGGATGACCCCTCCGGTACGGCTCTTGCCGAGCATTGTGCCGATGCTGCTCCGTGGGTCAGGCGGTAAAGAGGGGCAAACACAGGGAAGGATCTTTGCTCTCACACACACACACACACACACACACACACACACACACACACCCTTCCCACCTCCTGCCTCTGCTTCGCCCCACAATCCCCCCCCCGGTCCCCGGGAACCCAGAAAGAGAGGGTCAACGGAGGGGGTGTGGTGGGAGGTCTGGATGGAAGGAAACCACCGACGGTGGAAGACCGTCATCGGGGACCCTTCTTGCACCCTGGAAAACCTACGAATGGGGGGGGGGAGAGGAAGGCAGCTCGGGGGGGGGAAAGCCCTCCAAGTCTGGGGCAGAGGGTCTTTTTGCAGGCAACAAGGCCAGCTAGCCCAGTGGTTCTCAATCTTTTTAATGCCGCGACCCCCCCCAACCGGTCGTAAGTCGAGGACTACTCAACCGGTCGTAAGTCGAGGACTACTCAACTGGTGCAGCCCCGTTTGCAGACTGGGACTTTTGGCGGGCTCAGCAGGGCAGAGACAGCCTGGACCATTCCTATTGGCTTTGGAAAGCCAATCGAATTAGACTCTATTCAAGAGAGTCTCTTCTATTGGCTTTCCAAAGCCAACAGAATAAAAGGGAGTAGCACAGCCAAGGAAAAGGGGGGGAAAAAATGGCGGACTGCGTTGTTTGGTGACCCCCGTGAAATGGTCGTTCGACCCCAAATGGGGTCCCGACCCACAGGTGGAGAACCGCTGAGCTAGCCTGAGACGGAGAGGGGGCAGCCCCACGGTGGCATTGGGGCTGGCCATCTTTTACTCCCCTCCTCTCTCCAGGGTGGATAGGCAGAGGGCCAGAGGGGGGGGGTTTCCAAGAAGGGCTTGAGCCTGGAAGGGGAGGGGGCCAAGGGGCTCTGGGGAGGGGGCTTCCAAGGTGGAGCATTGGGAAGGGGGCCCTGCGGAGCCCAAGGGAGGGACCCCAAGAGGGGGGAGGGAGGGGGAGGGAGGTCAAGCAAGCCAAGCCAAGAGGAACCGAAGCCCGGGCAGAGGGGGGCAGAAAAGGTGGGGCACTGCAGCCAACCTTCCAGGACTGTGACTTCCCAGAAAGCTTGAAAGGAGATGCCAGTTTTGTGCCTGGCAGCTGTCAGTCAGCCCAGGCTTGGCAAGTTCCAGGCAAGTTCCAATCCCCTGGCTGAGGAGGATGGGTTCAATTGTCCAACATAGGGGTAGGCCACCTTGGCTCTTTTATGATCCGTGGACTTCAACTCCCAGAATTCCTGAGCCAGCATGGGGAAAACATTGGCCCCTTTATGACTCGTGGACTTCAACTCCCAGAATTCCTCAGCCAACATGGGGGAACTATGGTCCCTTCATAACTGGTGGACTTCAACTCCCAGAATTCCTGAACCAGCATGGGGGAACTATGGCCCCCTCATGGCTCATGGACTTCAACTCCCAGAATTCCTGAGCCATCATGGGGGAACTATGGCCCCCTCATGACTCGGGGACTTCAACTCCCAGAATTCCTGAGCCAGCATGGGGGAACTATGGCTCCCTTTATGACTCGTGGACTTCAACTCCCAGAATTCCTGAGCCATCATGGGGGAACTATGGCCCCCTCATGACTCGGGGACTTCAACTCCCAGAATTCCTGAGCCAGCATGGGGAAAACATTGGCCCCTTTATGACTCGTGGACTTCAACTCCCAGAATTCCTCAGCCAACATGGGGGAACTATGGCCCCTTCATAACTGGTGGACTTCAACTCCCAGAATTCCTGAACCAGCATGGGGGAACTATGGCCCCCTCTTGGCTCGTGGACTTCAACTCCCAGAATTCCTGAGCCAGCATGGGGGAACTATGGCCCCCACATTACTCATGGACTTCAACTCCCAGAATTCCTGAGCCATCATGGGGGAACTATGGCCCCCTCATGACTCAGGGACTTCAACTCCCAGAATTCCTGAGCCAGCCTGGCTCAGCTTGGAAATCTCTCCCTTTTCCCTCAGCGTAGCTGGCTCAGGAATTCTGGGAGTTGAAGTCCATGAGTCATAAAGCAGCCTAGGCCTAGGGCAGGTGTAGGCAACCTTGGTTCTTTTATGACTCATGGACTTCAACTCCCAGAATTCCTGAGCCAGCCTGGCTCAGCTTGGAAACCTCTCTTTCCCTTCAGTGTGGCTGGCTGAGGAATTCTGGGAGTTGAAGTCCACAGAGCCAAGGTTGCCTACCCCTGGTCTAACGTCTCAAAGGCGGGAACCCGCCAGGGAGACTGACCCCCTTCTGCCCCAGGGAATCCAGGTGAGGGATCCAGGCAGACAGCGCCACGATCTTGCCCCACAGGAAGGAAAGCCGTTGGCAGCAGCCTCCAAGGCCCCGCAGGTCTCCCCTCCACCAATGCAGCCTTGCCTGGTGTGCACACACACACACACACACACAGGGACACAAACACACATACACACACATGGATACAATCAGGAGTGCCCTTGTTCTGAAGGCAGACTGTCCACTGCTCTGCACCCTCAGACGACACAAAAAGTCCCTGGGGAAGAAGCAGCCCGTTATTTCGGAGAGAAGAAATGGGTCTGGGGGCTCCTGAAGAGACACCCCCACTTCATCCCTCCCCCCACTCTTTCCTGACTAAGAAGGTATGCCACAGAAGGATGGAGTACAACTCCCTGACATCAGTGGGGGCAGTGGGGCAAATTGGTCCCTCTCTATTCCAAGAGGCTAGTCCTCATGGACTTCCGGATACAAATGCTCTGAGGTCCAAGACTGGTGGAACCAATTCGCAAACGGGACAGGAAAGAGGAAAGAGGCGGGGAGAGGACTGGCGTTTGCCATCCCCGATTGCCCAAGATCAGAACCCTGGGAATGGGGAAGGTGGCGGGTCTTGGGCAACATGGGTTCTGGGTTCCTCCAAATGTTCCTCTGGGGTGGAAAGTCACGGACATAGCTGGAGACCCCCAGGGCCTTTTCCTTCCTTGCCCCTCTTTTGTGCCCCCACCATCTTGCCCCCCCCCCAGGAGAGAGGCTTCATTCATCCTAAATTGTGAAAGGGGGCAGTCACAAAAAAAAGTCAAGATGGCTGCCGTGCGAGGAGAGGAGAATATGGATGGGGATTAGGATTGGGTTAAATAAGACATCTCTACATTCCTTTCCTTTCCTCTCGTCTGTCCCGCCGGCGATTTCTTGGACCGCTCCTGACGATGTGCCCAAGGTGTGAAATATCACCGCCTCACCTGCTGCCTCAAAGAGAAGTTTGGGGTCTGCAGAGGGGGACAGAGGGGGGTGGTGGCAATGAGGATGTTGAATCTCCTTAGCTTGATAAATTGGAAAGGAAGGGAAGGGCCGCTAAAATGGTGGGAGGACTTATCTTGAATCCAGGCCTTGTGAAGATCGGGGAAAGATATGGGGAGGTTGAGCTTGCAGAGAAGAAGGTTGAGGGGGGCAGGAGGGGGGGGTCCTCAAAACTCTGAAGGGCTGTCATTCTGGAAAGGGTTCGGACTTCTCGGATGCTCTCAAAGGTCAGAGCAGAATGAACGGGATGAAACTTCAAGGATGTAAATGTGGATTAAAGCGGTATCTTCTTAACTTTGGGCCCTTGAAGATGGATGGACTTCAACTCCCAGAATTCCCCAACCAGCCAAGAAGTTCACTCATCCTCAAGGGCCCCAGGTTGAGAAACACCGGATTATATACTAGGAATTTGTGAGATTAGGTTTGGCATACGGTTCCTTCCTTTTCCCTGGAGCTTTTCAGAGACTGGATAGTCTCTGGCGAATGGGCTTGATGACCTCAGGAATTCTGGGAGTTGAAGTCCACGAGTCATAAAAGAGCCAAGGTTGCCTGCCCCTGCCCTAGGGTTTACACCAGGGGTAGACAACCTTGGCTCTTTTATGACTTGTGGACTTCAACTCCCAGAATTCCTGAGCCAGCCTGGCTCAGCTTGGAAACCTCTCTTTCCCCTCAGCATGGCTGGCTGAGGAATTCTGGGAGTTGAAGTCCACGAGTCATAAAAGAGCCAAGGTTGCCTACCCCTGGTTTACACCATAAAGACTTTAACAAGTTCAGCCAGACTTTCAGCAACTTTCAGCCAGACTTTCAGCAATGGAGAAGGTCCAAAGAGTTGCTTGCACTAACAGCAGCTCTTGAGAACGAGGAGTGAGACCCACTCTTGAACACAAAGCCCCATCCCCGTGGCTGAAGGACTGTGTTCTGCCCCCCCCCTCACAAGAGTAGGCAAGGCAATCAGCAAACAGAGTTCTCCTAATCATCCAAACCCTCCCAGGATGCTAAAACTCCAGCCCTTCTTAGTCTACAACTTGGCCCCTAAAAGCAAAGTAAGTTACTGGTCCTCAGGATCCCTCTATGCCATAGGGATTTTTGGAACAGCTGCCTTGTATTCAGCCCACTCAACCTGCCCTCCTCTAATGCAGGACGTTTGGCAGAGCATCAAGGCTCAAAGACTGAACGCGCGGCCTTCTGCCATCCCCGACAGGCGTTTTGTGTCTGAACGCCACACTGATCTTCGTCATTTAAATTCAGCTCTGCATCGTCTGCAGAACCTGCTTGAAACAGACCCCATTAAGAAGTTGATGCACCGCCGACCGAAGAATGAGGTTTTGTACATATCTGTCAATATTTTAGACCTAGGTCCACGTTCTATATATGTATGTATGTATGTATGTATGTATGTATGTATGTATGTATGTTTTCTGAGGTTTTCGCGGGTGTTGTATGTAGGTCTTTGGTTGTTCGGGTTTTCTCCCGTGTAAAATTGGAAGTGTCTTGGCGACATTTTGACGAAGTCCCATTCGTCATCTTCAGGCTGGTGTCTTCAGCTTCGTGCTTCGAGGAGCAAATGATGACTCCTCGAAGCACGAAGCTGAAGACACCAGCCTGAAGATGACGAATGGGACTTCGTCAAAACGTCGCCAAGACACTTCCAATTTTACACGGGAGAAAACCCGAACAACCAAATACATACATACTACATAAACACACACATATATATATATTATACATATATATATATTATTTTTACATGGTCCTGTTGATCATGGTGCCAGTACGTGAACGCAATGACGCGAGGGAAGAATCCCTCAACCTGCCAGCCTCTTTTACCAGCAAGTCTTTTAAAGAAACAGAATCTTGGCCTGCCAGACAGGAACACCCCCCCCCCCACAACTTCGGTTCCCAAATGGAATCACTTAACGGAGGACCTCCCAGGCTTCGCTCGTGCATTTTAGCAGACACAATCTGTTGAAGATCGCAGGCAAGACCCCTTCGTTGTGCATGGAAAGCTGGGAATGAGTCAAGTGTTCTCGTTTTTTTTTCTTCCCAACCATGCAGCGTCAGTCCTGGGAAGCCCCCCCCCCTCTTTTGTGGAAGCCGAGAACGCATGTTGGTCAAGACTCAAAAGAAGGGCCTTCTGTCCAGTGTCCAGTGCCACATCTGGTCAGAAGGTGGAAGCTATTGGGGGAGGTCCCAAATATAGCCATCTCTGCTTCCCAGCTGCTCGGCATATCCTGCCAAAAATGCTGGTCCTCCAGCTGTGAGTCCTTTGGCCCACCACCATCCTTGAGGTAGACCTTCCAAGCAGTTGTCCACCTCCGGTCCTCTCTCGTCTGCTCTCCTTTGCTTTCCTCCTGGAGGTACACCCTGGCTGGTCCCCCATGGGCGCAGCCAAGGGAGACGGAGACTCTCTTCCTTCTCGTTGGCGTTTCCTCCTCCCGGTCACACGCAGCCGCATTCCTTGGCCGAGACCTCATTTACGGTGTAGTATCGGTTACCCGTGTCCAAGAACGAGATGTCATCGTCGTAGGACAACGGTCTGCAGCACGGACGCGCTCGCACCTTCTCCTTCCGGATCTTCCTCCTGCTCCGCACGTGCTTCAGGGAGAGGTCGTAGTTCCGCACGGCCGAGTCACAGGTCCCGCTGCAGTAGCGGAAGAGGACTGTCTCGTCCGAATTGTAGCCCAGGCCTAGCTCGCTGATGGTCACCTCCAGCTCCTTGAGGGAGCAGGGCTTGTGGCGGGCCTTGGCGCGCTTCATCCGGTTGCCGGCTTTGGCCAAGAGAGGCAGCTCGTGTTCTCCCGAGTTCATGGACTGGCTGTAGCGCTCGATCAAAGTGGAGATCAGCTGGTGGATTTCCCCCTCGGTGTAGCTCTCGAACAAAGTGCTGTCTGAAATCAGAAGAGGGACAGAGGTTAGCAAAGGGAGGGAAACAGGTGCGCAGGTGTCATCTCTCCTATGGGCATTACACTGGCGGCCGATTGGCTTCCAGGTCCCGTTCAAGGTGCTGCGGTCACCTTTCAGGCCCTACGTGGCTTGGGACCAGGTGATCTGAAGGACGGTCTCTTCTTGGTTACCCACCGGAGTGGAAGAAGCAGGGGATGTCATGGGTCCCCTCTCTTAAGGATGTCCATATAGAGCAGGGGTCTTCAAACTTGGCCCTTTTATGACTGGTGGACTTCAACTCCCAGAATTCCTCAGCCAGCGTTGCTGGCTGAGGAATTCTGGGAGTTGAAGTCCACCAGTCATAAAAGGGCCAAGTTTGAAGACCCCTGATATAGAGGACCGAGAAGGAGGGCCTTCTCTGTGGTGTCTCCCTCCGTGTTACTTGAAGGACCACATTTCCCCACTTACCTCCACCCAACCTACCAGAGCAGGGAGGCAGGGGATGCTACGGGTCCCCTCTTCCAAGCGGGATCAAGAAGGGGGGTCTTCTCTGTGGTGGCCCCCTCCTTTTAGTACACCCTTCCTGCGGAGGCAAGACCGGCCCCCACTTTCACAGTCTTTCCCAAGGCCCTGAAGACCTGGTTTGGCCAACGGGCCTGGGCATCGCAGAGTGGGACGGAGCCCATCCGACGACTCATCTGATTGTTATCGCCAGGAGAGTGACAGATTCTTGCTTTCTCCTGTTTTTATCTTGGGTTTTTATCTTTGTCCCTGAGGATGAATTGAATGGCCACCTACATTCTTTTAAATAAATAATTGAATAAAGCTACTGGGCAACGCCAAAGAAAAGCTGTGACCTTGCCTGGCCTGGGAGGCCTTGCTCACAGTCATCTCCCTTCTAGATTACTGGCCTCGGTCTTGGTCATCTCCCGTCTAGATTACTGCAACCCTCTCTACACGGGGCTGTCCTTGAAGACCACCCGGAAACTTCAACTGGTCTAGGAGGCAGCAGCGTGCACAGTAATGGGGGCCTCAGATTTGCCCATGGAACGCTTTTGTGCGCAAGCTGCACTGGCGCCTGGTTTCCCCCCACCCCCCCCGGTGCAATTCAAGGTGCTAGTCCTCACCTTTAAAACCCTACTTGGTCCAGGGGCCAGGTTATTGGCGGGACCACCTCTCCCAAAGGATGCCTACTGGGTCCCACCAGTTCAGATAAATTTTGATTTTTGTTTAGCAATAGCACATGGACTTTACAGCTGCTTTACAGCTCTCTCTAAACAGTTTACAGAATCAGCACGTTGCCCCCTGCAACAATCTGGATCCTCCTTTTATGGACCTCGGAAGGACGGAAGGCTGAGTCAACCTTGAGTCAGTGAGACTCAAATTGCTGGCAGTGGGCACAATTATCCTGCAGTACTGCATTCTAACCACTGCTCCACGGCCCTTCCTTCCTTCCTTCCTTCCTTCCTTCCTTCCTTCCTTCCTTCCTTCCTTCCTTCCTTCCTTCCTTCCTTCCTTTTCCTTCCTTTCCTCCCTCCTTCCTTTCTTTCCCATCTCTTTCCTTCCTCCCATTCCCATTCCCATTCCCTCCTTCCCTCCCTCCCTTCCTCCCTCCCTTCCTTCCTTCCCTCCCCATTTCTTTCCTTCCTTCCTCTCATTCCCTCCCTCCCTCCCTTCCTTCCTTTTTCCTCCCTCCCTCCTTTCCTGCTCTCCTTCCTATTCCCTCCCTCCCTTCCTTCCTTCCTTCCTTCCTTCCCTCCCCATTTCTTTCCTTCCTTCCTCTCATTCCCTCCCTCCCTTCCTTTTTCCTCCCTCCCTCCTTTCCTGCTCTCCTTCCTATTCCCTCCCTCCCTCCCTCTCTCCCTTCCTTCCTTCCTTCCTTCCTTCCTTCCTTCCTTCCTTCCTCTCATTACCATTTCTTTCCTTCCTCCCTCCCTTCCTCCCTCCCTTCCTTCCTTCCTTCCTTCCTTCCTCTCATTACCATTTCTTTCCTTCCTCCCTCCCTTCCTTCCTTCCTTCCTTCCTTCCTCTCATTACCATTTCTTTCCTTCCTCCCTCCCTTCCTCCCTCCCTCCCTTCCTTCCTTCCTTCCTTCCTTCCTCTCATTACCATTTCTTTCCTTCCTCCCTCCCTTCCTTCCTTCCTTCCTTCCTTCCTTCCTTCCTTCCTTCCTCTCATTACCATTTCTTTCCTTCCTCCCTCCCTTCCTCCCTCCCTCCCTCCCTTCCTTCCTTCCCACTTAGCACTAGCACTTAGGCTTATATTCCGCTTCATGCTGCTTTACAGCATCTTCTGAGTCAGCCTATTTGCTCCCAACAATCTGGACCCTCCTTTTACAGACCTCGGAAGGATGGAAGGCAGAGTCAACCTTGAGCCCGTCAGGATCGAACTGCTGGCAGCGGGCAGAATGAGCCTGCAGTGCCGCAATCTCACCACTGCGCCACCGCGGCTCTCTTTTCCCTGTTCATTATTACTTTTATTGTTTTATGAGCCGATGGACATGTGTTTATCCCAAGCATGTTTAGGGTACGTGGATGTTTGAGCAGGCTTTTCCCCTCCGAAGTGCTGGGACACGGTGAGCTGACTTACTGCCAAAGTTTTATTTCCCTTAAGGTTTAATGGGCTTAGTTTTATGGCTGTAATATGGGTTTTATGATGCTTTAACTTTTCATTGGGTTCTAAAGTGGGTGGCTGTATTAATGTTTCAAATGAATAAATAGAAGAAGGGACTCTGCACATCCTAATACTAAAAAAAAAAAAAAAAAAAAAAAAAAAAAATCTAGTTGTGTCCCGGGAGGCCTCAGAAAGAATCTGGATTACAGATAGTCCTTGATTTACGACAGTTCATTTACTGACCTTTCCAAAGGTACAAAAGCACTGAAAAAGATGACGTGGCCATTTCCCACACCTAAAAATGAACTTAAACGAACCTAACACTGTAGTAGTAGTAGCATCCTCCTGATCACGTGGTATTTGAGCAAATACGATGGGAAATCAGGGGAAAAAATGACAGAATAGAATAGAATAGAATGGAATGGAATAGAAAATGGAATGGAATAGAAAATGGAATGGAATGGAATGGAATAGAATAGAATAGAATAGAATAGAATAGAATAGAATAGAATAGAATAGAATAGAATAACAGAGTTACAGAGTTGGAAGGGACCTTGGAGGTCATCTAGTCCAACCCCTTGCTCAGGCAGGAAACCCTAACCCATTTCAGACAAATGGCTGTCCAGTCTCTTCTTAAAAACCTCCAGTGTTGGAGCATTCACAAGTTCAAGGAGAGAAGCAACCTAGAAGGAAGGAGAAATTTCCTGACAGTCAGAACCAGTTGTTCCACTGATCAATTGTTCTGACTGTCAGGAAGTTTCTCCTTAGTTCCAGGTTGCTTCTCTCCTTGATGAGTTTCCATCCGTTGCTTCTTGTCCTGCCTTCAGGGGCTTTGGAGAAGAGCTTGACTCCCTCTTCTTTGGGGCAGCCCCTGAGATACTGGAACGCTGCTATCATGGTGACCAAAACTGGATGCATTGTTCCAGGTGTGGTCTTACCAAGGCATTTATAAAGTGGTACTAACACTTACATCCCGGCAGGGTTTTTTTGCTCCTCCTGATGTTCTGCAAAGGACCCCCCACCCCCCAAAGAGCCTGTTGCAATATATGTGGATTTGTAATAAGCATGAATAAACATTTGACTAATCCCATTTGAAAGGCCAGCTCAGCCCGTGCCGCCAAGACAGTTATAACTCTGGAATCTGAAACAGGAAAGCTGGTCCCCAGGAATTGCTTACTCGAAGGCAGACATCCCCTCGGACCAAATTCCCATGAAATGAATCAATGCGGATAATGTCAAGCCATAAAACTTTCCTACCCAAAAATGCACATTATTGCGCGAGAACCGCATCCAGTCCTCTTTGTAAGCGTGGCCAGCCTTAAAATGTGTGCACCGCGGGGTACCGCATGGAGCCAAAATCACGGGAAGTCTTAGTACCGCTTTATAAAGGCGGTACTTTAGTCAGGGCCTACCTGGAATACCTGCATCCAGTTTTGGTCATCATATCAGAAAAAAGATGTTGAGAGTTTGAGGGGGGGGGGAAGTGCAGAGAAGAGCAACTAAGATGGTCAAAAGCCTGGAGACAAAAACATATGAAGAACAGGATTTGGGCATGGCCAGTCTAGAGACAAGAAGTGGAAAAGGGGGGACGTGATAGCAGCGTTCCCAGTATTCAAGGGGCTGCCCCAAAGAAGAAGAGGAGATCAAGCTATTCTCCAAAGCACCTGAAGGCAGGACAAGAAGCAACGGGTGGAAACTGATCAAGGAGAGAAGCAACCTGGAACTAAGGAGAAACTTCCCAACAGTGAGGATAATTAACCAGTGGAACAGTTTGCCACCAGAAATGGTGGGCCCTCCATCACTGGAGACTTTTAAGAAGAGACTGGACAGTCACTTGTCTGAGATGGTCTAGGTTCTCCTGCTTGAGCAGGGGGCTGGACTAGAAGATCTCCAAGGTCCCTTCCAGCTCTATTCTATTCTATTCTATTCATAGATCCAAGGAGACTGGAGACTAAAACATACGAAGAACGTCTGCAGGACTTGGGTTTGGCAGTCTAGAGAAAAGAAGGACCAGGGGGGACATGATAGCAGTGCTCCAAAATCTCAAGGGTTGCCCCAAAGAAGAGGGAGTCAAGCTATTCTCCAAGGCACCTGAAGGCAGGACAAGAAGCAACAAATGGAAACGAATCAAGGAGAGAAGCAACCTGGAACTAAGGAGGAATTTCCTGACATAATTAATTAGTGGAACTGCTTCCCTTCAGAAATTGTGGGTGTTTCATCACTGGACACTTTCAAGAAGAGACTGGACAGCCACTTGTCTGAAATCGTAGAGGGTCTCTTGCTTAAGGAGCAGGCTGGACTAGAAGACCTCCAAGTTCCCTTCCAGCTCTATTCTGGAATTGAACTGAATTGTTCTGCTGCGCTTGCAGCATTTAATTATTATTATTATTATTATTAATAATAATAATAATAGTCAGTCTGTAGTCAGACTGACAATGGTGCATTGGAAGATCTGCAAAAAATATCATTTGCCTGTAAGCAAAAACTGGTGGGATCATAAAATAGAGAAATTCATAGAAAATGATAAAATTAAACTGCTCTGGGACTTCAGAATTCAAACAGACAAGCACCTGCAACATAACACCCCAGACTTAACAATTGTCGATAAGAAAGACAAAAAAGTCTGGATAGTGGATGTGGCAGTGCCTGAGATAGCAGAATAGAAGAGAAAGAACTGGAGAAGATAACAAAATACAAAGACCTACAAATAGAAATAGAAAGACTGTGGCAAAAGCAAGCAAGGGTAGGACCAATAGTGATAGGCTCCTTGGGTGCAATTCCGAAACAACTGGAGCACCACTTGAACACCATTGGCATTGACAAACTCGCTATTAGTCAATTGCAAAAGGCGGCCTTATTAGGAACTGCTTCCATCCTGCGACGATACCTGTAATACCATCAAACATCCACATCTGCCTATCCCAGGTCCTGGGTAAGGACTCGATAGGTAGACAAAATGCGAAATCCAGTCTGAACATCTGGCTGACTGTGCGATGATCTATAATAATAATAATAATAATAATAATAAAAAGTTGGAAGGGACCTTGGAGGTCATCTAGTCCAACCCCCTGCTCAGGCAGGAAACCCTACACCATTTTGGACAAATGGCTGTCCAGTCTCTTCTTAAAAACTTTCAGTGTGGGAACATTCACTGCTTCTGGAGGCAGGTGGTTCCCCTGGTTAATTGTTCTAACTATCAGGAAGTTTTTCCTTAGTTCCAGGTTGCTTCGCTCCTTTCAAGAGGCGCTCCCTAGTCCTTCAAAGTTTGATTTAATTACCTACACATACCCATCCTAATCAGCTGCCTCTCATACAAGGCTCATTTCTATGCAAGCGTACAATTAAATCCAAATAAAGCCTACCACATCATCGTGACAAAGCCAAATGTACCCCAGCCTTTGTTTTCTGCTCAAACAGCCGCAATTCCAGTCGATCCTTTGTTCCCACTGACTCGGGAGGCAGGATCTGGATTTAATTGCAAAAGGGTTATGCGGATTACCCTTCCACAAAGCAGTTGATTGGACTACATTTGGGTCTTTCCTGGCGGCAATCTTGATGTGATTAACTGATTATCTCTGTTTTAGAAGTCTGTTTCCTTCGGAGAGAAGCGGTTTAGAAAAGTGAGTATGGCTATTTTAATGAAAAGGAGGGGTGACACGATAGCATCTTCCAATATCTGAGGGGCTGCCCCAAAGAAGAGGGGGGGCACCTATTGTCCAAAGCACCTGAAGGCAGGACAAGAAGCAACGGATGGAAAGTAACCAAGGAGAGAAGCAACCAAGAACTAAGGAGAAAATTCCTGACTCTGAGAACAATTAATCAGTGGAACTACTTGCCTCCAGAAGTTGTAGGCGCTCCATCACTGGACGTTTTTAAGAAGAGACTAAATGACCCTTTGCAATGTGATAAGGTCTCCTGCTTGCCACCAGAAGTTGTGAATCAGTGGAACTACTTGCCACCAGAAGTTGCCACTGGAAAGTTTTTAAGAAGTGACTGGACAGCCATTTGTCTGAAATGGTATAGGGTTTCCTGCCTGAGCAGGGGGTTGGACTAGATGACCTCCAAGGTCCCTTCCAACTTTGTTATCCTGTTCTGTTCTAAATGTCCACCTCTTGAAAAAATCAGCAGGATCAGCCTAACCTTGTGGACCTCCTGTGATCACAGGTGGTGTGATCCTTATGCAACGTTACCCAGCGTTGGTGTGAGAACCTCAAAAACATGCACATATTTGGCTTTTCCAGCATGCTGAAGATCTTAGAACAGTGGTGGCGAACCTCTGGCACATGTGCCAGAGGCAGCACTCAGAGCCCTCTCTGTGGGCACACACGCCATTGCCGCCAGCAGCAGGTGCATCAGGCTGGAGCAGGAGCCCTGCCCAGCACAAAGGTGAAGAGGCCGACTTGCAAGCTCAAGTGAGGTGGTAGAGCAGAGGTCACCAACCATTGTCGATTGGTGGACTGGAAGAAAAGGGAAGGGGAAGCATTTTACATGCATGCGTGCGTGCATGGGGCCGTGAGCACGCACGCGCTGCAAATGGGGCGGGGCTAGTGCCTGCGTGATACTCACTAGCCCTGCCCTGTTCTTGCATGGTGCAGCGCCTTTTATCTGCACCCCACGGCACGGCCGTTTTTGCGCCTTGCAGCACGGTGGCCCATTTTTGCACCCCCGGTTTTTGCGTGCCAGAGTCGACACTCAGAGGCGCCTCCCTGCCGCCCCCCCATGAGGGCACCACAATGCTGATGCGGCCCTGGCACTTAGCAATAAATAAGTGGGTTTTGGGTTGCGGTTTGGGCACTCGGTCTCTAAAAGGTTCACCATCACTGTCTTAGAAGGTTTGGCCAATTGTGCGATGTTTTAAAAAATGTGAGGCTCTGCGGACAAAATCTAGGAGCATCTGAGATGTCCTAGCACTTAGGGACATGAATACAGACAGTCCTCAACTTACAGTGACAACTGAGCCTAAAACCTCCATTACTAAGCAAGGCAATCGTTAAGCGAGTCGCGCCCCATTTTGCGACCTTTTTTGCCATGATTATTAAGTGAATCACCATTGCTAAGTGAACCGTGCGGGCGTTAAGCAAATCTGGCTTTCCCCCATTGACTTTGCTTGTCAAAAGCCAGCTGGGAAGGTTATAAATGGTAATCACTTGACCCCAGGATACTGCAACAGTCACTAGTACCTGTCAGTTACCAAGCACCTGAATTTTGATCACATGACCACAGGGAAGCTGCAAAGGTCAGAATGGTGAAAAAAGGTCCTGAGTTATTTTTTTCAGTGTTGTAACATTGAGTGGTCATTAAATGAACGTGGTAAGATGAGGACTACTCGTAGTGATGTTCATGTGTGCAGCTATGTTGTTAGCCGGATCCAGAGGCTGGTTCAGACAAACCACAAATCCTACAACATCAGATTGTCATGGAATTGCGCGTCAGGTGTCCAACTGAAGTTAGAGATGCTGACCCAAAACTTGTAGTTTTACATAAATAAATATATTGAACATCTATATTCACTACAGACGAGATAGGAACATCATGAGGTAAATGTAAACAGCAGAAGAAAAAGGCGGGAAAAAGGGACACTCCTCCTTTTTACCCAAACAACCAATCACAGTGCAGATTGCCTCATGCATGAGCAGACAAGATAGTCGGGAACACTCCCCATTTTCACTCATAGCAACCAATTCCACTCATGGAATTGCGCGTCAGGTGTCCAACTGAAGTTAGAGATGCTGACCCAAACTTGTAGTTTTACATAAATAAATATATTGAACATCTATATTCACTGCAGACGAGATAGGAACATTATGAGGTAAATGTAAACAGCAGAAGAAAAGCGGGAAAAAGGGACACTCCTCCTTTTTACCCAAACAACCAATCACAGTGCAGATTGCCTCATGCATGAGCAGACAAGATAGTCGGGAACACTCCCCATTTTCACTCACAGCAATCAATTCCAATCATGGAATTGCGCGTCAGGTGTCCAACTGAAGTTAGAGATGCTGACCCAAACTTGTAATTTTACATAAATAAATATATTGAACATCTATATTCACTGCAGATGAGATAGGAACACCATGAGGTAAATATAAATAGCAGAAGAAAAAGGCGGGAAAAAGGGACACTCCTCCTTTTTACCCAAACAACCAATCACAGTGCAGATTGCCTCATGCATGAGCAGACAAGATAGTCAGGAACACTCCCCGTTTTCACTCACAGCAACCAATCGCAGCATAGATTGCCTCATGCACCAGCAGACAAGATAGTCAGGAACACAGGAACATCGTGAGGTAAATTAAACAGTATACAGAGCACACAGAAGAAAAAAGCGGGAAAAAAGGGAAACTCCTCCTTTTCACCCACAGCAACCAATCACAGCATAGATTGCCTCATGCATTAGCCAGTACTCCAACCAATCAGCTACAACTATGTGTTCTGGCCTAGACCACACATAGACCAATAGCCTGAGGCCAACTGGCACATAAGAGTACAGGTAGTCCTCAACTTATGACCACAATGGAGCCCAAAATCTCTGTTGCTAAGTGAGACACTTTGTCCCATTTTATAACTTTTCTTGCCATAGGTTGTTAAGTGAATCCCTGCAGTTGTTAAACTAGTAGCATGATAGTGAAGTGCATCTGGCTTCCCCCTTGGCTTTGCTGGTCAGACGGTTGTCAAAGGGGATCACATGACCCCAGGACACTGAAACCGTCATAAGTACAAGTCAGTTGACAAGCCATGTGTATTTTGATCACATGACCATGGTTGTAATGATTGTAAATGTGAAAAGCGATCATAGGTCACCTTTTTTTCAGTGACGTTGTAACTTCGAACAGTCACTCAACTAGCAGTTGTAAGTTGAGGACTACCTGTAGAAGATCAGTTGAGATCAGGCCACACTCGGAGTGGGATAAAACCCCTCAGAGGTTCCTGGACACTCCCGTTGCACCCGAGAAAAAAGAAGAAACAGACACACCGACTTACACTGGGAGATCAGCGACCTGTGGCGTCCCAGCTCCCGCGGACGTCTTCTGGATCCCTGGGTCAACGAGGAGGAGGAGGAGGCGTCAGTGGCGTCAGTTCTGGAGAACAGCGACAAAGGGAAGGCAGCGGATTTGAGGAGCCGGCTGAGCACGTCTCTACAAACCAAAACGGAGAGCATGGAGCCGAAAACCATGGTGCCTATGGCTGCAAACTTCCATATCTTCATCTTAGACCCAGTCAGGACATTGGAAATCTGGAAGACAGTCAAAAGCAACAGGCTTAATTCCACCTGTCCTCCCGAAGGATGCCACATCTGCAAAATCCAAAGACGTTGCACCCAGGGTTGACTATTTCTCCACCACCAATCCGTCCTGTCGAATGCAATCCGTCCTGTCAAATGCTTAGAGCCGTGGCAGAAAAGTCCAGCTGTCTTCCCCGCTAGAAAACAATTCCACGTTTGCAGAACTCCTGACTAAAAAGGACTTGTTTCATTTTCCCGGGCTGCGTACCCTTTCACCCCACTGAAGCGTTCCGCCTTTAGCAACACCGGTGTGTTTCATGCCCTCAGTCCTTGCCCGCGATTGCTTCGTTGCTACAGGGGTTATCTTAACTGCTGAAAAATATCTAGGAAAGACTTTTGCCCAGCTTATACGATGTGTCGTATGTGTGTGTTTCCAAAAAGTCAAGACACTTGTAAAAAAAAAAAAGTTTAAGGCTTCAATCGCTAGATAGTAGCTTCCATTTTGACTTTTCTTGACTCCCCCTGCAAACGCTTCTACTCATATTGATAAAAACCAACAAAATAAAAAAATAAATAAATGAAACGGGTTGCTTTTTTTTATGTACAGGCCGTTCTTCACTTACAGCCACAACTGAGGCCAAAATGTCTATTGTTAGACAAGGGGGTTGTTTAAGTGAATTTTGCCCCATTTTTGCCATGCTTGTTAAGTGAATCCTGCAGTCACTAAACAAATCTGATTTCTCCCATTGACTTTGCTTATCGGAAGCCGGTTGGGAAGGTTACAAATGATGATCATGTGACCCCAGGATTATTCCAACCGTCATAAATACATGCCAGTTGCCAAGCGCCCAAATTTGGATCACGTGAACACGGGGATGCTGCAACTGTCGTAAATGTACATGCCAGTCAAAAGTCACTTTTTTCAGTGCCTTTGTAACTTCAAACGATCACTAAACAAATGATTGTAAGTGGAGCACTATCTGCAATTTAGTTTGATTTTTAAAAATAATATTTTAAAAAAACTCCAATCAGATAATATTTTCCCAACCTAACAGATGAATTTTGTATCACCTTATCCAATGCACATAGTTTTGCACTAACATTCTCCTGTTTTGCAAGTGATTTTCCTTAGTACCCTATAATAATAATAATAATTATTATTATTATTATTTTATTAATTATTATTAATAATAATAATAATAATAACGACTCGATAGGTAGACAAAATGCCAAATCCAGTCTGAATATCTGGCTGACTGTGCAATGATCCATAATAATAATAATAATAATAATAATAATAATAATAATAATAATAATAATAATAATAATAATGTTGGAAGGGACCTTGGAGGTCATCAAATCCAACCCCCTGTTCAGGCAGGAAACCCTACACCATTTCGGACAAATGGCTGTCCCAGTCTCTTCTTAAAAACTTCCAGTGTTGGAGCATTCACCGCTTCTGGAGGCAGGTTGTTCCACTGGTTAATTGTTAGGTCTGTGGGAAAATTATACAGTCCGTGCTTTATGGGACAAGGGGACAACTCGGCGTGGCCAACTGGGGGTCGAGCAATTGGGGGTGGCCCCCTTGCTACCACCAAGTCATCTCTGTCAACTCACTGCCACCGAGTCATTGCAGGATAACTCAACACAGGCAATTTGTTGAGAGGACAACTCACAGGGGGTGCCACGATGGAGAGCCAGGTGGACGGGTGGGCAAGTGATCAGGTGGGTGGGCAGAGCGAACATCGGCAGTAGCAGCAGCTGGAGGCTTCCCATTTTCACACTGCTATGAACAAGGACACACATTCAGTTTTGCAGCTACTAAGATTGTTGGCTGAGCAGGGACAAAAACAGCCAGGGAAGTGATTGAAGCCTGAGAAACAGGCCCCTCATCAGTCAACAGGAATGCTGATTTACCACCAGCTCATCAAGTACTTAGAAGGTGAGAGCTGAGCAGCACAAGCAAACAACAGCCAACAACTTAAAAACCAGCCATCAATACACCCCAATCACTGTCTTAAAAGCCACATACAACAGGCGCCATGTAACTACCACATCTTCAACAGCACACACTCTGCTAGAAAGACGTTCCACGAAGGCAGGCTCCAGAACAAGTCTGAAAGCTCGGAAGACAAGCTGGTCCCTGGTGACCAACCCATATTGGATCCTGCATGTTCACATTCCCCACCGCGATCACCTCTATTGCTTCCGTGCTGAGCTCCGGGGCGTTCAGGGTTCAGACCATTTGGCGGTGGTGGTAGTGGGCGGGGCGTGCGACAGGGAGGAGGTGGTGGCCGGGAACTTCCTGTGGGGGATGTGAAAATGGGAAGCTCCAGGCTGCAGCCACCACTGTACATTCTGCCCACCTGCTCGGTCACTTGCATGTCCAGCTCTCCATCCAGGTACTATTGCCAACGTTGAGTTGTCCCGCAACAACTTAGTGGCACTAGACCCTGCTTCTATGCCGCTCAGAGTAGCTGGGATTCGGGCAGCATAGAAATTTAATAAATGATTCTTATTGTGATTATTCACAGACTTTTCACGACGTCTTTGTAACCAGCAACCATGCCATTTTCCCACCAAAAAATGCAGTTTTGCATTTCTCATTCTTCTTCCCCCTCGTTTCAAACTTGAGCATCAAATTCAGAAGAGGATTAAGTCTGGCATAATGTGGGCCACAACGGAAAATCTGAAGACACTGCATAAAAGTTAAACACCTGGTCTCCATCATCACGAGGGTCGTAATGAAAATTATCCACGGTGAGGGAAGAGAAAGGGACTGTCTTCACGATCCTCGACTTACGATCACAATCAAAACTAGAATTTCCATTGCTAAGCAAGACAGTTGTTTTCAGGTTAGCATGTGGTACTGCAGGCTAATTCTGCCCAGTGCCAGGAGTTCGATCCTGACCAGCTCAAGTTTGACTCAGCCTTCTGTCCTTCCGAGGCCAGTAAAATGAGGACCCAGATTGCTAAGGGCAAATAGACTGACTCTGTAAACCGCTTAGAGGGAGCTGTAAAGCACTGCGAAGTAGTGCATAAGTCTAAGTGCTAGTTGTAAGTAGGAAGGGAGGGAGGGAGGGAGGGAGGGAGGGCAAGCCATGGTTGTGTAGTAGTTAGAATGCAGCATTGCAAGCTAATTCTGCCCATTGCCAGGAGTTCGATCATGACCATCAACCCTCTGATCTGCAAGTCAGCTCACCGTGTCCCAGCATTTCGGGGGGGAGGGGAGTTTGGCCAAACTTCCACATGCTTAAACATGCTTGGAATAAACACATATCCATCAGTTCATTAAAAAAAAAATTTTTTTTTTTAAAAATTAACAGGAAAAATAGAGCCATGGTGGCGCAGTGGTGAAATTGCCGCATTGCAGGCTAATTCTGCCCATTGCCAGGAGTTCGATCCTGACTGACTCAATCACCTGACTGAGATGGTATAGGTCCTCCTGCTTGAGCAGGGGGCTGGACTAGAAGACCTCCAAGGTCCCTTCCAGCTCTATTCTATTCTATTCGGTTCCTGCGCTGGGGAGGAAGGGACCAGCCGCCGAGAAACATGACGGGCCTTTTAGCTCCTGTGTTGAACCTCCAGCGCCTGATCTAGAAAACCAGTGGTCCTTGCTTAATGAAGTTGCTTAATGTTACGACACCCCCCCCCCCAAGAGCTACTATGGTTTCCATATGAGCCGTTGGGGCACCGTAATTAGAATGCAATATTGCAGGCTAATTCTGCCCACCGCCAGGAGTTCGATCCTCTCACAAAAAAACAAAAATCCACACCTCTATTTATGCAGAGGATAAATTATTCTCCCTGGTCAAGAGAGGCGGTGGCGCAGTGGTTAGCCTGGGGTACTGCAGGCTAATTCTGCCCAGTGCCAGCAGTTCGATCATCTCACCAGCTCAAGGCTGACTCAGCCTTCCGTCCTTCCGAGGTCGGTAAAATGAGTACCCAGATTGTTGGGGGCAAATAGGCTGACTCTGTAAACTGCTTAGAGAGGGCTGTGAAAGCGGTATATAAGTCTAAGTGCTGTTGCTATTCTCTCTCTTCCTCTGTCCCTCTCCCCTTCCTTCGCGCTCTTTTCTTTCTACCTTTCTTTTCTTTCCCTCTACCCTCTCCTCCCTTCCCTTCTTTTTCTCCACGTTTTATCTCTCCTGCTCTATCTCTTTATTTCACTCCTCTTTCTCTCTCCCTCTTCTTCCTTTCTCTCTCCTTTTTCTTCCTCCCTTCCTTCCTTCCTTTCTCTTGTAAAGAGCCCTGGTGGCGCCGTGGTTAGAGTGCAGCATTGCAGGCCGACTCTGCCCACTGCCAGCAGTTCGATCCTCTCACCGGCTCAAAGTCGACTCAGCCTTCCGTCCTTCCAAGGTCAGTAAAATGAGGACCCTGATGGTTGGGGGCAAATAGGCTGACTCTGTAAACCGTTTAGAGAGGGCTGTAAAAGGGCTGTGAAGCGGTATATAAGACTAAGTCCTTATTGCTATTGCGATGACTGTATTCCAGCGCCTTTACAGCCGGCGTTCCGTGGTCACGTGGCCACGATTTACAATGTTTTGGGGTTGTTGTCTTTTGTGGGGGGCAGTTTCTACACAAATATGAAGCGATACAGGCCTGCGTTTAACAACCACCATTTTCACCCCAAAAATAACATCATAAAATCGAGTCCGATTACATTGGCGATGGTCATGATTTGGGATGGAGATTCTGAGTGCCATTTTGTGGTCGTTAAGTCAAGGACTACCCATAATTATCCCAGCAGGCCCTACCTCGCAGGCCTGTGGCAAAGATGTGAGAATGGATATCGCTCACCAAATTTAAAAACACTCGGAAAGGATTTTATTTCGGCTCCTTCTTTCTTTTCTTGTTGTTTTTTTTCCCCCTTTTTAAAAATGAGCACTCTGGTTTCTCTCTTCCCCAATCTGCTACTTTAAGGGGAAATGGCTTTTCCGCTTTAATGCACCCTGACATATTGTTTCCTGCCCTGGGGGTTATTTAAAAAAGTATTTTGATGTGCTTCAGTT